AAAAATTTCGCCTTATCAGATGCAGCCAAATATTATACTTCGAAGCTGGGCCCAAAATATGTTGGACCTTTTTATATTAAGAAGAAAGTTTCTCCATGGACTTATGAGCTTCGAGACAAAGATGGTAACTATAAGGGCATATGGAACGCGAAGGATTTGAAATCGTCAGCTAGCGCTGATGAAAATTTACCTTAGTAAATTTTCTTCAGGCAAGGGGGGTGTTTGTAACGGGTTATTTCTGACATTCGGTATATTTTCTTTATTTGCATAATTATTTAAGGTGAATCACAATACAGAGGAATACAATACTTGTGTTATGTCATTTACTTCAACCATGAGATTGATTCAGTCACTGGGCTCAGTATTATTTATTCTTGCTTCACTCCATTTGTTGATTTCCAGAGCTTACCCTATTATCAAACTGATATTCTTGAGGTGGAGAACCTACAACAGATCAGTCTTGTAATGCAAGTAAGTTATCAGACAAGAAAATTACCTGAGGTCTGACCTAGAAGACATTTAGATGACCATACACAGCCTCTTCGAATCAGAATCTTCATTGTCAGCTGTGTTAGGTTTATGGAAAATAGATGTTGAGTTCTGAGTATCCCATGATAGTCCTGAGGTTCCTCACTAAAAGCTGGGCGACTAAATTGGTGCCATTTAGCTCACTTTGGGTAGAAATCATGTATTTTCTGTTTTCTAGGTTAGGTGGTAGAGTTTCATCTAGGCACGGCCCAGGAATAATTTTATTGCTGTTTGGGGTGATAAATTCAACCAGCCAGTCTTCCTTCATGGTATTATGCAAGACATCTGGGTCCAGTACTTGAAAAATAGGAAGTCTGTTAATGTTTGTATAGCTATTTCATTTGTTGTGTGTACCTGAACTATTCTGGACGTCGGAATGATAGGATTTATTAATGGGACAAGATGTTCTCGTTATGATTTGGTACTCACCTTGTCTAATTATGCTAACGCGGATCTGATGATCATGATGGAAATTATTATTGTCAATAATTTCCAGATAAATGAAAATAACTTCGAAGTCAATCTGACATCATTGGTTGACAGTCTGACGAGCTCAGCAGAGTTGCCACCCTGTAGTTACTCATTGCAGCCAACCTGAAATTACCAAAATAACCGACCTCCTTCATAGTATTTTATACGTATTTCTCAACTTTTCCTCTATAACCAATTCCAGGTGCAATTGAATTTCGTAGATTCTCGTATTACCTGTCCTCTGTTCATATTGTGGTAGACGAAAAACCCTAACTGATGACGTCACCTAGTAACTCCCGCGATGATTGGTCGTCTGTTCCTTAGTCTGCTCCACCGCGGGGAGCTCACGCGATATTCTATTTCCTATAGTCATCTCTATCAAGTAGCAGAGGTAGACAAGGATGCCCTTCCAGGTGAACAGGTAAAACCTTCGCACCTGTTGCAAGCTGACCAGGTGACCAAGGTGTTGAGATATACCCCCTTTCCCCTTCACAAATTGAGAGTTTGACAGTTTCGTCATTCTCTTTTGTGATTTTTAATGGTTCACTTCGGTGCAGCGTATTTTGTGATTTGATGTTTTTAAATCATCCTTTCGAGGGATTATTGCTGTGCCAGAAGATTTAGTGAAAATTGCAGCCCAAGTGGTGTTCAGTTATTGGTTGAACGTATTTTTGTATACTGTGGCGATTTCACTCTCATTTTGAGGAATCAACGAACCTAACCGTAAGTAATGCATCACCTTGTCTCTCTTGGCAGTAGGGCTTCAATGTCTCATTATTACAGGGCCTATACCCGCCAGTTTTCCACACATCTGGCATCAATAAAACCTAAACTATCTACATACTGCAGCGTAGTGTGTGTTTTGGTTTGGCAGGACTTCATCATCTAAGTGAATCAAAACCCTTCAGCTAAAGAAGGTATGTAAAACCATAGTGGCTATTTACTCTAGAAACTATGTTGAAAAGAAATAGCAGCACCTAAACATGAATTTTGCGACACTTCCAATTTGAATGTAATCAAAGAAGCCAGTTGCTAGTTATTATTTTCATTTTTCCCTGAAAGTGGAAAGCCTACAGGGTGGTCCTGTTTATTGTTGATATTGAAAAAAAAAACAACGAAAGTACTTGAAGAAGCTGGTAAATTTCGTGTACACTAAGGCATATTTTTGGCCGATTGCTCGGGAATATCTTGTAAATATTCTGTAAATATTTTGTAGAGATTTTGTGAATATTTTTTTTAAGGCACTTTTGCAGATAATGGATGGGCAACGTCCACGTTCAGCTTTGCTGCCGAATTTGTGGTCAGTTAAATTCAAAATTATTATACAAGTATACAGGGTGTATTTTCTAAATCCCATTTAGGAAAAGCCTTCCTGAAGCGGGTTAACAACTAGTCCGTGGGGGGGGGGGTGATATCCATATCTGTTCAGTTTATCCCTATTTGTTTATCAAAGGAATAGATTATGAAAGATTTTATTTAGTTGGGTCTAGGATCACATGTAATCAATTCTAATATACAGGGGGTGATTATTATTATTTCCTTTATTATCCTAAATCATTTTCATGAGGTTTAAATCGAATCATAGCTCAGTATTAATTTTTTTTATTCACTTCAACGTGGAGATGAAGTCAGTGGCGTTGATGCAGGTGATCAAATTTTACAAGGGGGGTTGATTAGTAGATAATTTGGACTTCCTTTGTTTTTCTTTTTTTGTTATTCACGTCGACACTCCGAGTGTTACTCACCTATCACTGATATTATTTGTTTTTTTTATTGAGTGGGAGGCAGGTACGATTTTGGGGATGACTCCATCCACGTCTACCATTCTAATTCGAGTTTTTTTCTCAAAGGGTTTATTTATGGGGCTGGAGAGTCAATTTTGGATCATCGAACAGATGATATAGCTGTTGATGGGGACTTCAACTTCATCTTGCGGTTGTGGACTTCAACTTTATTTGGCGTTGGGGGCGTGACCTGACCTAGCAGACGACATTGGAGACTGTGTGTTCCAGACACGCAAGTACCCTCTAGGCCTAACCTATACCGGCATTGCTACATACTTAAAATTGCTTGTAGCTAGCTATGTTAAGTCGCTTTTTATGAGTCACTACTGACTTATTGCTATAATCGAATTTGCTACCTGAATTCGCTAATTATTTCAAAGATTTGCTTTTGATGCTTCGCTTACTAACTAGTATTTGCTGTGAAACCTTGCTAGGTAGTAATTCCCCCGGCCTCAGTGTGCTTCATGCATACCGGATAATTATATTATTTTTTTTGTGTATAGATCTGGTATAGTGGGGGCTATATACCCACTAGGTATTCATGGTTGGTATGAACACGTGACAACCCTCTTTATTAGTGACTGTACAGCGGAAATTAAAAACAGTGTTTGCGAACTTGATAAGTCCAGTTGTTTTGGTTTAATACTGGTAGTCGTGATATAGTCGCACTTTTCGCTTGGGGCCCAAAGCTAACGGTGGAAACTCGTGGTATGATTAAACGTGACAATAATATAATTAATTTCCGCTAATAAATTATCAGGAAAAGTAGACCTTCTCTTCCAACATAGTTAACGTGCTCAACCATTTATATTTTTACCTAATCAGATATCTTTGATGTTTTCTTGTTCAACATTGTACTAGGGCATTAAAATCAATATTTGTTCCCGGTCCATGTATATATATATATATGTTTTTTTGACAGTATGCAAGCGGTTGTTAACTTTAAACATTTTGAAGGTTAATATAACAATTGTACGTGTACCATTTCAATTCACCATCGACTCTGGAATTGGTTCCTTGCTGGATTTTTGGAATAAATATTGTCAGAATATTACACCTGTGTTTCATTGGTGAAACTGTCTGTTTTCTATCAGGAACTGTTTGGTAAATTGAGTTGATAGATTACTTAGTGGCATTCGAGGAAAAATAAATTACCTGGCGCCCATTTCAATTATTCCAACTTCCACCTGCAAACCCACTCCCATCTCCTCTGCAGTGAACCGGAGAATGCTAATTTGTCCATCGACAGATTTAACCCTGTGACCTTGGAAATTTGTAGCGTTACAAGAATGCGGGCCAGAAATTCATTCACTGAATTTGATTGGGATTATCAGATATCATTAGCTTCTGGTGTGTGAAAAATATGGAGCTCTTCGTGGATTACAACAGAATAAGATTGTTTCAAAGTACTACATATATTTCATGAAACCTAGACATTTTATACGTTCTAGTGAATGTTCGCTATTATATTCTCTTGAAGAAAGAAGAAGTAGCTAAGGAGTTTCAACAACTTAGATGATTTAGTTGAAAATGATGGTTGTTTGTGATGGAATGTAAGAACTAACGTATAGTAACAACATGTGTTTTTGTAAATTTCGAATTTGCAAGTATACCTATATAATATTATATGGCATAAACTGTTGATAAATGATTTTTATTCATTGGCTTATAGAATGAACTCGAAATAATCTGAAGTTGTCTAATGTCATTTAACCTATAAACGTCAGAAAATTTTCGGTGTAATTTCATGCTCTGTCCCCCAAGGAGGATGAAAAAATTTCCAAGAAATTTATTCAGTTGCTATGATAACGATACGAAATACAGGCTATAAATTGACCGAAAATGTTCGGTGTGAAATTTTCCATGAAAATATCAATCAAGCTCACTTCAATACGACAAAATGCATTTGGCTGCTTGAGAATTGTAACATAATGTGATCCACAATTCATCTCAGTTTGAGAAACGAATTTCAATACGTTTGTACCGTAATAAGCAATAATGTTCATACTACCTAACAGGACCAAAGATATTTTCATGGAGAATATCTTGTCAACCCGAGTATGCACTGGTGACGGCTTCATAGCCGAAAGCGCTCTGCTATGATATTTTGACGAAACTATTTTGCACGAGCGAAATACAAGATTTGTACAAATCTTTCCATATATAAATGACACTCTAGGATATATCAGCAGTTTCAGACTGGTATACTTCCCTCACCTTATATTTGAACATCATGTTGTTATTCCAACAATCTCCATGAAGGATCACAGATTCTGGCTCATCAGGAAAACACATTCGCGTAAGTGCTTCTACTATCTGGTCCTCAAACCCCTCGAACTTTGTTGCCAGCGTTGAGTCTCCAAGTTTCTTCAATATTTCTCTAGCTCCTTTGAACTCCTCAACGAAATTCCCAATCATATCGGCCTGGATGATGAAAGTTGCCAGGACGTCAGTCATGTTTTTGGTCATGCTCTTGAACAATGCTGGTTTCTTGGTCTTCATTGCTAAAGACGTTCCGTGGAGTTTTCCGTAGGTTTTGAAGACGAATAGGACGTGGTTCAAATTTTGAGGGATTGTTCGATCGTGTACTTCGAAGCCGAGGGATTTCAGATTCTTGAGGATCAGCGCCTCTCTCTTATCGTCTTGACAGGTACTGTAGCATTTCGCGTACTGATCGAAAGGGTCTTCCAAAGCGTATTCTTTTTGGAATTCGTTGAGCATCGGGAACACTTTGGTATACATAAACATTTCCCTGAAATCCAAACGGCATTCATTAAATGGCTTTTGATATAAATGGAGCTTAGTTTCCGAGTGAAGAATATTTTCAATACATTGAAATTACGAAACATATTTATTCCTCCAGCAAGGAGTATTTCCTTCTAGGCTGAAGATATCCAATCTCATTCCTCTTCACGAAAAAGGTGATTCAAATACTATATGGATAATAATTATAGGGCTATTACTTTATGCTCGAGCATGGCAAAATTTTTGAAGCTGTCGTCAACAAAAATATCATCAACTTTTTAGCATTCAATGATAACTTGTCTCTATGCCAACATGGTTTCACGAAGATTAGAAATACTGACACTGCACTTTGTGAATTTTTGAATAATATATATTTTAAGCTCTCGATGATAAACAAGTGGCACTGGGGTTATTTATAGATTTTTTCAAGGCATTTGACTGTGTTCGGCATGATATTCTTCTGTATAAATTGGAGAGAAATAGAATTCGTGGAGTAACTCTCCAATGGTTCCAATCATAAATGTAATAACTATATTTCTGATTTGAAATCTGTGTATATAGGTGTGCCTCAAGGATCCATTCTTGGTCCAACACTCTTTATTATATAAATCAACGATCTGATTGAGAGTGTGATCTCATTACACTCTACTCAAGTAGTAGCTTATGCTGATAATACAAATTTTCTGTTCATTTCAGACACTGTTTATAATGCTAAAAAACAGGCCGAACTAGTTCACATGAATGTTTGCAAGTGGGTTGATGTGAACAAGCTTTATCTGAATAATGATAAATCAACCTGTGTTATTTTCTAATCTTCTGGTTCAGAATATCCTAACCACATAACTTTAAATAATACTGAAATCAGCTGCGCTCTAAATACTAAATTGCTTGGTGTTATTTTAGAAAGTAACCTGGAGTGGTATGGACATGTAGATAGTTTGTTTTCGAAGCTAGCTAGGATATGCTATGCCCTTTTCATTTCATCACAACAATGTAGTAGAGAAATAATTAAACAATTGTATTTCGGATGCTTCCATTTCAATTCAAAATATGGAATCATGCATTGGGCAAATTCCGCAGAAGCTCATAGGGCCTTCACCTTACAAAAAAGGGCAGTCTTGGGAAATCTGAGAGCAAGAGATTCATGCAGGGAATATTTTTAAAAACTGAATATCTTCACAATGATTTCCCTTTACATTCATGAAGTAACCTATTTTGTGTATAATCATAAACGTTATTTTGAGACTGAAAAAGTCGAACATAATTACAATACAAGGAACAAAGATTATCTGTTGCCTCCTCAACACTCATCTGCTCGGTATCAGAAAAGTTTATATTAAAATGGATGTAAATTTTACAATTGCCTGCCAAAATCTATACAGGAATCAAATAACAAATTCCAATTCAAGAATAAAAAGAAAAACTTGCTCCTGGAAAAATCTTATTACCCCCTGGATGAATTCTTTTGTGATCCAATCATCGCTAACTGATGAATAATGTTTTTCGAGTAGACGTTTATATACTTTTTATGTTTATGTACCTGTGAAATCTTGTATATTATTATGTTTGTTTTATACCTACGATATTTATTTATTTATGTACTTTAGCCACATTTCGACGTTTTTTTCTTAAACTGTATGTATCTATCTATCTAACTATCTATCTATTTTTGGTAAATCTAACGTTCCATATACATCGTGATTCTCCTTTATTATAAATAACAGCAATCACCATGAAATTGACAAAGAAAAATTACAATAGAGATAATGACATATTAGATTTTCGTCGTCGTGTATTTGCTTTCAAGGTTTCGTTCAAGCATTTACCAGATCATTATATCATTCCAGAGATCTAAAATAGGTAGGAATGAATATTGTATATTCATTCTAATATGTGTCAAGATGCGTATTATTTATGTTATGAAGACTATTGATCCTTCGTCGTTTTCCACATTTTTTTGATACAGTGTCGATCAGTTCACTCATACAAGAAAACAGTCTCAAATTGAAATTGCTCTAAATGGCCCTCCTCCCCACTTTAAATTGCGAACAATAAAGATATCTGATGCTATGGACATATAAAATCTTCCATAAATTTCTGACGCAACACATCTAGTGTCTCAGGTTGCTTGACGTGAATGCCTCCACAGAAAAATGTCAAAAGGGGTTAGATAAGGTGATCTTGGTGGTCATTCTACGACACTTCAATCCAATAACGATTACACCGCAGATCTCAACCGACTTTTAAAAGAAGGCACCAGTGTATTCGCAATTGCGGGAGCTTCAAAATGATGTGATAAAAGAAGGGTAGTTGCATTCAATATTTAAAGCCATCAGAGATGCTAGGGTAGAGGAATGAACATATTCAAATGGCTTATTTGACAAAAATGATGAAAAGAAAACAATTTTACAATCTGATGGATATAGGAGAGAGTCAAGTTTTTGTTTATAGAATCTGTATGACGTTCAACGAATTGTATCAAATCAACATGTACAATTGAAAAATACGTAATATTCTAGAATCCCATTAAATCCACAAATTTCAAATATTAAATATCATCTTAAAACAGAAGGTGTAATTCCTAGAGAAAACTACAAACCTGTAGTATGCTTCCTGAATAGGAGTTTTCATCCTGAAGATTTCACTTTTATTCGCCGATTTAATCACCAAATTATAGACCTTCTCCTCGCCCACATCTGATGAATTGACAACCACTTCAATAAAATTCACTTCCCCCAAATATCCATCGCCTCTTGTAGAACCACTACATTTGTCTAGTTTATAAATCAAAATGTTTCTTTCTTTCATCATTCGATCTACCCACAATACTAAATCTTCAGTAGATACAGACATTCTTGCGATATAAATAACCAGTAAATTGTAAATTCTCAGGTAAACTGCTTCCAATAATTGTTAAGAATATCTACTGAGCGCTAGTTACACAATTTTAATTGCAGGTTATGCAATGGAAAAACAATTTTTCATTTGTTTAATTTTTGATCGATCGTAAACGTGCGGGTTGCAATTGAACAATCGGAATATTAATTGCGAATGTTTCTACCTGAGATACTATTATTGGTTTCTTATATACATACAGTGTGACCCAATTGATGGGGCCGGAGCACTCATACAATATGAAATACAGATTTCACAACAAATTTCCACTCTCTTTCAGCGAAGAGAACATCAAGGAGTTTATTTGTCACCATTTTCAGGATATTCTCTTCTCGACGTGATATTGAAAAGTTTCAAGTGAAAATTGGTGTTCAAGACTAAGAATACCAGAAATCAATAAATTATTCTCACTCAAGCAAAGGCAGAACAATCTTGGGAGAATTGTATTTTTTTATTGTAATATGAAACTTTTAAAAACTGAGTTTTGACACCTTTGAAATGATTTGAAAGTATTACATAGGTATGGTGATGAAATGTTTATTTTGTCGACTGAATATTTTACATAATTACTAGAACTCATGTAGAACTGGTCAGTATTTCTTTTGAAGCGAAATTTTACATCAAATTAGGAGAAATATTGTACGCAACTTGTTAGGAAACGCTTTTTGTGTAACTCTGTGTTTTGCGGGACGAGCGTAGGAAAATCTCATCGTTACACAAAATGACGCATTTCCCAACTGGTTACGTAAATATCTATTACAATACCGGGTGTCCCAAGTTATCGTATACAGGCAATATCTCACTAATTTGACGAGAACGTTGAAAAATTCAATAGTTTTATTGAATGGCATTGAAGTACCTTCCTAATGACATATTAAAGAATCCATTATATTTGACAGTTCTCTGGGAGCTACCCTCCACATTTCATTTTCAAATGGCATATCCTCTTTATATTTCCATTGGAGATTACGTGTCACTTATTGATAACAAAAATATCAACATTTTGTGATCTGTTTCAAGTTACAAAATCATCCTTATAACAATGAAATACTGCCTCCGCTCATATTTTTTGTTTCGAGAAGCCGATGCTTTCCATGTCATAATAATTTTGAACACTTGCAGTGATTTTCAGTTCAGTTTTTAATTGGCATTAAAGCTATTTTAGTTGAAATTCATACTTCATTAAATGTTGCTGTTTTTGTTATAATAATTAAAAAATACCAAGTATATGCTATCATTGTATTCCTTATCGGATGACTCGCAATTTTCAAGACACTATACAGGGGGTGCAATTTGAAAAAAAGTAGGGGATAGCTGCCAGAGAACTGTCAAATCTAATAGAGTTTTCATATGTCATCATCATGTCTTGTCATGAAGGTACTTCAATGCCATTCAATGCAGGTTTAGAATTTCTCAATTATTTTGTCGAATAAGCGAGAAATTGCCTGTATATACAATAACTTGGGACACCCAGTATACCTTGTGTTTGCGGGAAGTATCATACAGGTGGAACCACATCAGGGACCCCTCTCAGTATCTCTCATTTTATCTAACGATGAATCTATCATTTGTAGAAGAAGTAGTGAATTTTTTAAATCTTTCGAAGTCTCTAGAAATATGCTCCGCTCAATGAAATGTGATGGTGATTATTTAATGACCAGGAATAAAATTCAAAATCAGTAGAAGGTGTCCCTAGACTTTCTGTACTAGCGATATCTCCGTGGAATATTATAGAGTTGAAAAAAAAGATGGAAAATCAACATTGCGACAACATGGACGTAATGATTTTATCTTTTGAAAGAGTGAAAAATAAAAAATGACAGAGTTCCGAATCTTATTGGACACCATCTGGATTGAAACAAATTTGCCACCCCAGTGATTTTATCCACTTTTTATAAGGAGTTCCTAGCGACCCACATGTGGAAAATAAATTATGTTGGGAAATCAAATCTTCCCTTGACCCGTCTGTAGAGAATTGAAATTGGAATTTCAGGAACATACTTACCAAATTTTCCAGGGAGTCGCAACGCTGCAAGGATAAATTTCAGGAATTTCAATTAGAGAATCAGAATCCCTTATTCAGAGACGTACTCACTATATTTCAAACGGTATTGAAGATGAAATGTTACCAGAGAATTATAATATTCTTCGACACTCAAAATGAAAACAATGGGAATTCTAATCATCAATACCTACAAGAGCACAAAAAAAATCAGGAATCCTTTATCAGGAAATTGAATGAATCCATCAATAAACATCGCATAATTGATGCCAGTTAAGGATCGTGTCCATTCCAGACAGTACTGAATGGAATAATGAAGAATTCAGAATGCAAAATACACTGGGCAATGTTTACATAGCAACAGGACATATGAGCATCATCAGAATAGTGAACAAGGATATATTTAATATGATAACAGATCACATTTCGAAACAATACATATTCGACACTTCATTCAGAGTTTCCATACCAGACAGAAGATTTCAATTGGGTTAGGACTGTCAGGATTGTCAGGAGCAGGACTATACTCCAAACTCCTGGAGACTAGCCTCAGCTACTCATCGGGAAAGTAAGCCTCCGTTTTTCAAGCAGAAGACTATATGCAATTTTTCGATATACAGAAGAAAATAACAGGAGAGTCGTGAAAAATGAGCAGATCCGCATCATGTCAACACTCAAGCGACACTTAAGGCAATAAAAAGCTAGGAAGTGACATCTCAACTGGTATGGGATTGCAAGAAAGACCTGGCAGACCAAAATCGATGTAAATCTACGTACCAGGACCTCAGGGGATCGCTGGCGACGAGAAGGCTGATGAACAAAAAGAGGGTGAAAAATGAGCCAGATTCAGGCCAGATTCTAGCAGTTCCAAAACGTACAACGCGAGCGTCTGTTAGAGACTGGATGAAGACAAATCATGAGAGCTTCTGAGAATACATGACATGTGAAACAAAACATCAAGGAACCAAGCAACGAACTGCACCACTGCTATAAACATGAACCAAGTGCAGATGAAAACTATCACGGGAGTCATGACTGGTCATGCGCTAGTAAATGAGTATCTTGCGGGAGTGTATAATGGCGAGACAAGCTGGAGACTATATGCGAAAAATAACCGCAGACACAGTATCACCTATAACGCATATACTGTGCAGATACGAGGCATGGGACCGCAGAAGACATATGCTTTTCGTGCAACCACATCCAGTGAAGGATTCGTACGAAACTGTTCAAAGCACAGAGATACTGGAGTGGGTACAATGAAGACAGCTAGTTCAGATACAATATTGGCCACTAGGCCTGAATGTCGTTGGATACATAGGTCAGAAGAGCCTACAAACGGGGTGGGTATACCAAGGTATTGTTAGGGTTAACGGTCTCCTCTGCTATACTCCTATATAATGGGGATTTGACCAATAGGATGTTATTAACTTTTATTTTGGGAGGGTTTGGAATCTTAGAGGCTGTTCTAACCGATAGATTGATTTTTTGTCAATTATGCTTCTACTTTATCAAGGGTAGATTGATTACACTAGATGCCTTCTGCAAATGATTATGATGTTCTACAATTCAAAATAGAATACCAAACTTCAATTAATTCTTTGACATGAAAAGCATCGGTTTATTGCAAGAAAAAAATTAATGTACTACTATTCTGCGAAATTTTCAAAAACATGGGCGAAGGCATTTTTTCATTCAAGTAACGTGACATAATTCTTGATAATATACACACAAAATGTAATTGTTCTCGATGTCATTATAGTAAAACAAATACCAAGTTTATGCTATCTTTGTATTCCAAATAGAATGAAACGCAATTTTCAATAAAAATATACAAGAATAAGTACCACTTGAAAATGAAAAGTGTGGGAAGCCGAACGTAAAACAGTTTTTTTCATTATAGGAAGATATTTTTCTTTCTGAATTATCTTGTCAAATAAGCGAGATATAACCTGTATACCATCAATTGAGACACAAGGTACTATATACTGGGGACAGTTGGGAAATCGAATTGGGTTTTTCTCAGTGGCTCTCATCATATTCAAATAGAGACGCACCTGTAATATGCTTCTTGGATAGGAGTTTTCTTCCTGAACTCTTCACTTTTGTTAGCCGATTTCACAACAAAATTGTACACTTTCTGCTTTCCGTTATCAATATCAGCGATCACTTTGATGAAGTTCACTTCCCCCAGATATCCATCCCCTTTGGAAGAAGTTCCCGATCTATCTAGTTTGTAGCTGATGATATCCATTTTCCTCATCAAATTGTTAACCCAATTCTCCAAATCTTCGGAGGTAGTAGACATGTTAAGGCCGTTCAATTAATCTCTAGTAGTAAAAAATTAACTTATCATATGGTATTTTATAGTACCTATTGGATGTGATTACACGCTGTATTTGATTTTTTTAATTTCAGGTCATTATATATAAAAAAATGCTGATGCGGTATTTCATGCTAGATAATAATGTGTTACTGATACGTCACGCAAGTTGAATTCGTGGTCTTATTCAGCGAAAAAGGAAATAACCAGTTCTCGAATAAATTGTTACAAGCAATATAATTGCTTGTGGAATCCATGGGGAATGGCTTCGTCACTGATTTAATCATATATTCATCACAGAGTATATGAATTTATCTTATACAGATTATAAAATTTTTGGGATTTTCTACCCTATAGTTCCTATAATAAAAAAACATAGTTGAAAATTCAATCGATAGTCATCGACACTTTTTTTGAAAAAGATGTAGGTATAGTAAAAAAGTATCAGTTTTCCACCTCTGTGCAAATCGTCCGTCCGCTTTGATCAAGTGATACTTCTCAGTAATTGAGATAGTGGATAATGTGGATTATAAGTCACGCAACCACACTGTTTCAGTAGAATATCTGTATCTTACATGTGATTGTAAAGAGTAATTTTATTTGGAATGGATGAAACTCTACCTGGAACCATTATATCCAAAATAAATTGATCGATGGAAGTAGGGTATGGAATGGACCAGAAATATGTTGAAAAAATCCTCCGACATATCGCAATTCTACTCTTTGAACCATTTTATGAACGAATAGGATGATTCACTTTTTC